ATTATAACATTTTCTCATTAATTATGCAAATTAAGTCTTCATTTGCATAATCAATATTTGCCTGCGTTTCTCTCGTTCTTAATAACATATGTTACAAGCTTGAACTTCCTATCATAGAATGCAGCTGATTTATAGAATTTCCTCATTAATTATGCAAATTACATCAATATTCGCATAATTGTAATATCATTATGTTAAGCATCACTTAAGCTACCTACATACCAAAAATCATGATGATCCATCAATCGGTTCTTGAGTTATCCTCTTTTAAACATTTGTCCTTTAAACCCCCCTGCAGTTTTAGAGCAAGCCGCTAGGGGGCCTTAACTCACGTCACTTCTTCCCCAGCACAAGAGCTACCTACCATCCAAATTTCATCACCACAGCATGTCTGGATCTTGAGATATCAAAACCGGAAGTTCAGCTGCAGTACCATAACAAGCTGCTAGGGGGTCCAAAATCTAATCATTTTGAGGTCTCATTAAGACCTACCCATCTACCAAGTATCAAGACAATCCATCAAGGCCTTCTCAAGTTATCGTGTTGACAGACAGACACACACACACACACATACACGAACGCCCCTGAAAACATAACCTTCTTGGCGAAGGTAATAAATGTAACTCAATGCAGCATTTTCCACCTTTCATCTTCATTTGTTCTAGTACTCTTATTCTTTGTGTATTTTTATTTTATTTTTGGTTTCTCTCAGTGTGTAGAAAGTCAAAGTCTCTTTGAAAATCTGTTTGAAATTCCAATTTGAAAATGGCTTCATACTGTTTCTCTGCCTTTGTATGATTCAAATGAGTTAGATGGCAACACTGGTTCTGGTACCATAGCACCTTTGTGACAAGAATGTTTATTTATTGTTGTCAGAGCATGCTGTGACTGTGCAAACCCTGTTATGTAATAGTACTTCATCAGAACATCTCTTTTAAGTTGAGCCGGGGGAGGGCCTAGAAAAAAAAAATTAATTTGGGGGAGGGCCTAGGTAAAAAAATTTTCCAAGATCCTTTTAACTCTACAACGTTTTTATACACTTTCAAAGCACGTCTGTCCCATACATATCGTAGCGATTTGCCAGTCATTGGAATCGGCAGAATTTTACGTTCCAATAATATCAATCCCTATTATTATAATGTATTCGCCCAAATCTCCCACAGTCCCCTTCAAAATCTTGCAGTTTCGCCAGAATCGGCGAAACTGGACTACACAGCCAAATTACATGGATTAAAATCGCGTCAATCGCGGCAATCGAAACGATACCGATCAAAAATGTAGGGAAGGCTTGTCGGAAGATTTTGAAAATTAATTTTCGCCGTTCAACGTACCCTTCCCAGAGGTGTGCGTGCATGCGTCGGCAAAGGTCCCGCTGGTCCCGCCTCGCAACTCGCTCGAACTTTTCGGCGTGGAAATGTCGGATGTTGACGGATTAATTTGGTATTTTTCTTAAACCAAGGACTATTTTAACATTTATATCTATGTCCCTCCGAAGTTAATTGAAAACAACACGTAACTTGGCAATATTGTTTCCCTGTTTGTAATAAAATTGACGCGGAAGAAGTTCGTGGACGAAAGGTAGGCCAGATTTATTTCGATTACACTGACTGACCTTAACGTTACTGACTTTAAATTTATATCTCGATGTACCAGCGAAATTTGTGCTGCCAAATTTGCCCCTCAACATGCAAAACATGGGTTGAAATTCAAAATTTTTTCGGGGGGAACATGCCCCCCCCCCAAAAAAAGCTGGGCCTACTAGGGCTCTAGTGGCGCCTGTGGCGCGATGGCTCGCGCCTTCGGCGCTTCATGCGGGGAAAATTTTCAATCAAAATCTCGTCCTCCCCATACGAAAGTTCACTCTCTATGATTCACGCCGGGGGGAGGGCATAGGAAAATTTTTTGCGCCGGGGGGAGGGCCTAGGAAATTTTTTTTGACCTGGGGGGAGGGCCTAGGAAATTTTTTTTTACGCTACTCCCGGCGAAGTTTATAGCGAGGTCACTGCCCTCTTGGTAGGGGGTATAAAACTGAGCTAAGTGCTAGCAAAATTTGCCCTTCAAAATGCAGGAAATGACGTTTCAGAGGGTCTAGATTTCAAAATTTTCCCGGGGGAGCATGCCCCCGGACCCCCCTAGATAACGTCGCGCCTTCGGCGCGACGCCTCGCGCCTTCGGCGCTCGCAAAGATAGTGTACATGGCAGAAAATCTCGCCCCCCCAGTCAAAATTTCGTGCCGCCGCCTCTGACTTCCACAATCACTTAGTAAAGTCATACCTTAGTAAAATCTACTTTGATGAACGAATCAAAACGGGACTGTAGACATTAAGTTTTACACATTCAAATGTGGCTGCACTAGCGCTAATGGAGCGAGCAACCACTATGTACGTGAAGGAACGGATCTTAGCGAAGCCGAGGTTTGTGAACCAAACCCAACCCATCGAAGACGGGCCGCCAAACATAAAAATGGAGGGAAATGACAGACAACAAGCCAACAAAGACAACATCACCAGACCAACAAACTTGGAAAACACCACTTCAAGCGCTAACGTTGTAAGAACTGTGGAACCTCAAACTAGTATGTTTGCGTCAGCGGAAAGGCTGTCGAAGTAACCACTACATGAAAAACTGCGGCAAAAAAGTAACATGGGTTCGTCCCAAATCTAGACGCAAGTGAGCTACAAAAGAAATAGAACCTATGCAACTTGCTTGTTGCTGTCAACTTACCCGTTAAAGATTGAACCGATACATGTACGTACTATAACTTGCCATACCCGGCCATATGCGTTACATTATCTATCATTGTCATTTCTGTGAATTCCTTAAAACATCTACTGTTAGTTTGTGTAACATTACGTATAGTGCTACAATCTGCGTAAAAAAGTGGGCTTCATTACGTGTTATCTGCTAAGTCGTGTTGGTATTGAAAACTGTTTCATTCCGCCGTTCTTCTACAAACAGCCAGCAGAATTATGAAGATACTCGTTCTCAATACACATGCTGCAAACTAAAGTAATGGCAGTCCTACGAAAATTCTGTTTGTAATGTATAAGCGCTTTATGTCGACGTACAATGGGTGTGAAATACATGTTTTCGCCCATCGTGTGCCACCGGCTCGGTGGTAATTGGCTACTTTACAAGTGAAAGAACTGCGTCCGTGGGCCTTGATAAATTATTCAAATTATTCAGCAGCCCTCTGATTGGTCCCCGCTAGAAATTTACTGGATGTCATTCAGTGACGAGCTCCCCCCCCCCCCCAAAAAAAGGTTGGGGTCGGCAGTTTTTTCTAGGGTCGGTCGGGAAACAGGAAATGCAACATTTTTTTTTATTCTCTGCCTTACTTTCTCTATGGAAATACATTTTTACAAGGATTCAAGTGATTCAGGAGAAAGGAAGCAGGTGTCGTTCTCCCCGGAGGTCCAGGTTTCCCAGATCATCAAGAACACCACTCACTCCAGCCATCGGTCTCCACTGGCCATCAAGTCATGCACAACCACCGACAGTGCCAGACCATCTCTCATTTGTCAAAAGGTATTAGACATTTTTTGACATGTGAGCAGACTGTCATAATGAGATTGTCGGCTATTTTGCCATGCAAAATGAAAGAAATATAGCTCCACTACATCTTGTGTTTTCAATCTTAGGCCACACCAATTTGATTTTTTCAGAAAAAGTTTGAAGTGACAGGGTGAAAAAAATAAATAGAACAGACCTAGGCATCCTTATGGCCCCAAATGCTATGATATTAGCCATGAAGTCAACATACTAGGCTGGCTTGTAATTTGAACAATGAATTTCAAACTTCTAATCAAACCACTGCATATAGATGAAAAAGCTGTTACGGTAACAAATCTGAAGAGCTACTTCATTCAACTATTAAGACCAAAATATAAGCATTTTGGAGTTGATTCAGAGGCTGAAACATTTTTTTTTTCAACTCAGAAAAAAATCAGTGAACCAACAAATCAAATTGGTGTGGCCTTAATTTAAATGGTGTCGTCTCCAGAAATACCAGGCCCTTAAATTGACAAAAAGGGGCTTTATTTTGGGGCTTAGACATTTAATTTAGTCATATATCAAAAGAAAATCAGGCAAAATTAAACCAGCTTAGGAGAGAATTATCCAATGAACTAGCTGTTTGATCTTGCCAGTGTGCCAGTGATTTTTTTAAACAAAGGGCACAGTTACTCTTCTTACTGTATTAAATATGAATCAATGTTTCAGATGATGCTTCAGAAAACCCAAAGGAAAGCTGGAGTAAATAAGACCTCGAAAATAACCCCTCCCAGACAGCTTGACCCAGGGGAAGATGGTGGGAAGAAAGGGAGGCAGAGTCAACAGGACAGCAGGGCAACACAATCCTTCAACAGCACTCTCTTAGGTAATAATACTTTCTTTCACTTATCACATATATTTGCCTTCGTCAGAAGGGTATGCTTTCAGTTTGGGTTTGGTGGAGCAGCTGTGGTGTGTATCATTCTGTATGTAGGTCAACGTCATAACTTGAGAAGTTGTACATGGATCCTATTTATATTTGGTACGTGAGTAACTGTTGTGAAAAAGAAGGCCGTCAAGTTCGAAAATGGTTCAAAATGGTTGGCTTATAAAAGCTGGATGTACTGTCACAGTGGTAGTTGATACACTAATTTAGTTAGTATAATTATTGTAGTTGATATAGTACAGCATTTTTTTTTTACTTGTCAATTTCTTTTGGCTCCGGGAAAAAGGTAAATGATGTAACTTCCAGTGCTACGTCTTTTGCATTAAATCTGTGAATGTAAAGTGGAGCTTTTGTTGATATAATAGTTCTCAGCAAACTGTATGAAGAATGTGCTGGTTAATGTTTAGTAAGCCAGAATACTGGGGACAGCAGCTGTGATGAGGAGACAGACTGTTTAGTAAGCCAGAATCCTGGGGACAGCAGCTGTGATGAGGAGACAGACTGTTTAGTAAGCCAGAATCCTGGGGACAGCAGCTGTGATGAGGAGACAGACTGGGAGATAATGAGGGAGGCTACAAGTACACAAGGTAAGGTAATAGGAAATTATGCTTCAAATCGGTTCTTCTTTCAATCTTTAGATGGCTAAAACTAGAGTGCATTTTCTTTCACCTTCTCCCTCTTGCCTTACCCTGTTAAAGAGAATTGGTAGCCAAATGGCTACTTCAGTGTGCTAAACGGTAATGTTTGACTGCATGATCATTATATATATATTGTCCTCAGTCCCAATATTACATATTAACTGTTATTAATTTCTGCCCTTTCACAGCTGAAAGTCAACCTGTGGCAGCAGGTGTACCAGCCATAAAAACACATGAAGGTGAGACATAGCTTTTCTTGCACACCTTGCAATCATCACATCTTGACATCAAATGTGAATTTATTTCATGATGCACATTATGTCCAAGATAAAGTGGTCAGGGTACCATTTAAATCTCACGAACATGCAAATTAACATAATACAACAGAAACAACAACAGTTTTGTCCTTGGCCTGTACAGGTTACCAAATGACATGTTGTGTGCTATGTATGCTGTGCCATAATACAAAGTCAGACTTGCATGGGCAAGCCCGGAGTCAAATTCATGGTTTTATTAAATTGACTGAGTTTCATTTTTTTTCTCTACAGCTTCCAAACATGTTAGGAGATACCTAAGGAGAAGTAAAGAGCCGTTGTACGTCTGTCCCACATGTGGAACACAGATATTTACAGAAATAGGTGCCAAACGACATGCCGAAAGGCACACAGAGTCAGCTAAAAGATTTCAGTGTGGACAATGCTCAAAGAACTTTCTACTACAGCATGAGTACACGAGACACCCATGTATGACTAAAGGCAAGGTGTTCAAATGTCAGGAATGTCTGGCAGAATTTAAGTCGCAACAGGGACTTCAGCTTCATGAATCATCCCACAGCCAGAAAGTTGTTACATGCAAGGAATGCGGCCAACAATTTGATTCATCCTACAAATTGCGGTATCACTATGAAAAAGTACATGAATCACCAATAAAAAAATCATGCCGTTTCTGCTGCAAAGATTTCTGTACCAGAGCAGCAAGGAAGACGCACGAAGCAATCTGTAAACACAATGACAGACCAAATCCAGTACTGCACAAATGTCATCAGTGTTCAAAAGTATTCAAATCAAAATGGAATCTAGCAAGACACACATCAACACACTCAGACACAACACACTAAGTCATGCTAGTTTCCAAGTAAAACCCAAGAAGTTGAATCACTTTCATTTGGAGACATTGCCTTGTTTAGTTTTGTTTTGGATTTTCTGGTTGGGATTGACTTAAGGTGTCCTCTCTGGCTAATTTGGCATTTTAGTTTTGCATCGTTTTCTCACAAAGAAATTAAGAAAGAACTGTAGTTGTACTGAATATTGATACCTGGGTACAAAAGGGTTATGAATATGAGTTTTTGGACCATATGGATGACGTCATCATATTTTATTGCCCCAAATGTAATTATCTTTAAAGTTATAATATAGCACTTTGGTACAAGTAACTGAAATAAAAATATGATTTTCATGTGCATAATGGTCAAAGCTACAAACGTTTGCACAAATTGATATCTACTAATTAACTGTAGTTATTAGAGAATAACTAAATTTTAATTAGGCAATTAGGTTATTATCTAATAACTACGGATAATTAGTAGATATCAATTTGTGCAAACGTACGTTTGTAGCTTTGACCATTATGCACATGAAAATCATACTTTTATTTCAGTTACTTGCACCAAAGTGCTATATTATAACTTTAAAGATAATTACATTTGGGGCAATAAAATGTGATGACTTCATCCATATGGTCCATAAAATCATATTCATAACCCTTTTGTACCCAGGTATCAATATTCAGTACAACTACAGTTCTTTCTTAATTTCTTTGTGAGAAAACGATGGAAAACTAAAATGCCAAATTAGCCAGGGAGGACACCTTAAACCAAAATTTGAAAACACATATTTGTTATATTTGCAACAGGTGCTCCAAATAGAGACTGGAAGTGGATTACTTTGTGAGAAATATTTATGCAGTATTCTGAATCTGAAGTAATATACAAATCTTTACCATTGAACGAATGTGTCAACAAATAGTATGTTTTTTTCTAATACACTGTTACCTCCATGAAGGTATTGTACAGAACAGAACTAAATTTTGTTGTAAAAGTTTTGGGTCTGAATCTTCCAAAGCATTGAAAGCTTTGTGCATTCATATTTCTTGAATGATAAGGCACAGAACAAAGTGAAAGTACCAATTCATTTCCTACATGTACACCCTCTTCTGTTTGCACTCTCAGAACAGCAAGTCTTTCAGAAACAGAAACTTCTATAGAGGCACATTGGTTTAGATGATGGTCAATTTGTTTACATACATGACTTTATTTTGTATATCATGCATGATACTTCTAATGGTAAGAATACAGAACAGGTTAATTTTGCAACATATATCTAAACGGATTAAACTCTTTTGCAAATAACTTTGACAGTCACAAGTCTGATAGATGTAGAAAACACCAATGCCTTTGTACATGTATACAGAAAATGCCCCAAAGTATCAAGTATTACCATTACCAATGTATAAAGTGTTCTCTCAATCTCTGAATTTTACATCATGTACTTGGCCATCATTTTGTCAATTTGGTTCATGTTGTTCATTAAAATGTGGTCCTTACAAAATAGCACCCGCTTCTGGGGACAATGCCTTTTAGAAAATGGTTTTAAAATTGTAATATTACTTTGGGATATTTACATGTATACCCGCTCGGACATGTGGCAGCTGCCTCTCAAGCTGTTTTGAGGCTTTGAAGTGCTGCCGCACTCCTTCAGAGCTGTGTTATTTTTTTTTTTTTATTTACATGGATTTTTTGAGCATTGGATAGAGCTGTGTTGCGGTGCAAATGGACCACCCGGGACTGTTTTCTTCCTCTGCCTCCCTGGCTTCCTGATGTCAAACACTGGATGGTTAGTAACTTTGCACAACCTGGTTCATTCTTGTGACAGGATGCTAGGAAGGCAGAGGCACTGGCAGAGTCCTGTCCTCCAGCAATTGTCTCCCTCAATGGTCTTGTACACCGGGGCTCGTCTAGATGTTATGACCGAGAACCCCCTGTAATTGCAAAATGGAAATAAAAGAAGATAAGAAAGTGAGAGTCTTACAAATACTTGCCACTGAAATGTGTGTTTCTATTCCCTGTTGATAGATATGATGTAAATGATGGAATACATTGTGCACTTAAAAAAAATAACACGTCCAAAACCAAAAAATGGAACCACAATGTTTGCCATGCAAGCTGCAACAACGTGCATTTAAGTAAGGCCACACCAATTTAATTTGTTGGTTCTCGGATTCGCCTCTTCATTTTTTCCTGATTTGCAAGAAAAAAAAAATTCAGAATCAACTGCAAAATGCTCATATTTTGCCCTGAACAGTTGAAAACAGTCCTTTTCTTCCTAGTCGTTACAGTTATTCCATCTTTCAATGCAGTGGTATCATTAGAAGTTCAAAATTCATTGTTTAAATTTTGAACCAGCCTTTTGTGTTGACTTCATACCTCCTATCGTAGTATTTGGGGCTATAATAGAATGCCTAGATCTATTTTTATTTTTTTTCGCCCTGTCGCTTCATATTTTTCCTGAAAAAATCCGAGAACCAACAAATTAAATTGGTGTGGCCTAAAGGGGAAAGATATGTACATGACACGTTTAGGTCACAACAAAACTGCTTACCTCTCCTTGCTGCTCTTTGTGAGTAAGATGGCATCTTGGAAAATGCTTGCCTTCAGTCGTGGCAGCAGCTTCACATCAGGCAGGCCCCTGCGCTGCCATGGCTCATGCATTTGGCAGTTTCAAGGGAGAATACAGTCTCGTTCTGCTCTGAACCAATGGCTCGTACATTGACACAACCTCCCTTGACCATCGTTGGCATCTGTAAAATAACCAAGATATATGCCATAATTAGCAAACCTGCTAAGGTAGGAGTTTCTTAGTGAAGTGATAACATCAGGTTTGGAGTTTGTTCCTCTTTCAGTATATGTGTAATTACTCCTTGATCCCAGATTGTCAGAAATATATTTTGCTGTCCATTGCAATCATTTATAATAGGTTCAACCGTTCAATACAAATTCTCACCAACAGTAGGACATCAGGGTTAGCCAGAATACTGTCAGCTGTACGCCAGAACAGTACAGAGTAATTATATATATATAATAACTGTCTGGGTGGCCAGAGGTCTGGAGGCATCTTCTGGAAAATCTCAACCTGGGTAAACCTGTGATTGTGAAGATACAACACAGTTCAGACTGTGAGCAATAAGGCAGTCCTTTTTTGAGAGTCAACCTGTTTGTGCCAAACTACTAATGAATCCTGACTAATTCAACTATACTGCAATTAAATAGAAATCTTCATTGCACTTACTGTCTGTCCATCTTCACTCTCTCAGTATATGGGATACCTGGTCTGCTCCAAGCATCATGCCACAGGATCATCTGAAATTAAAGACATAAAAGTTAGTGACATGATAATGCTAAAACTTGAAAAATTATTTTCCAATTGAGCATTTCAAACCAACCCAATATTATAAATTGCTCCTTTCAAAGCTTAATAAGAAATGATGAATATCATGTTGAACATAACAACAACATGACTTTAAGTACATGTACCATGAAGCTTATCGAGGAATTAAATATTGTCAGAAGCAAGCTTTTCTCCAACCCCCATTCCTACTTCCATCTTAACCTGTGGCTAATTTTTATCTCTCATTAGGCCACACCAATTTAATTTCTTGGTTAACGGATTCGCCGCTTCATTTTTTTCAGACTTGCAAATAAAAATAAAAATCCAGAATCAACTGCAAAATGCTCATATTTTGCCCTGAACAGTTGAAAACAGACCTTTTCTTCCTAGTTGTTACAGTTATTCCATCTTTCAATGCAATGGTATCATTAAAAGTTCAAAATTCATTGTTTAAATTTTGAACCAGCCTGGTGTGTTGACTTCATGGCTCCTATCGTACCATTTTGGGCCATAATACGATGCCTAGGCCTGTTTTTATTTTTATTTTTTTTTTCGCCCGCCCACTCCATTATTTTTCTAGAAAAATCCGTTAACCAAGAAATTGAATTGGTGTGGCCTTAGTCAGGGAAGAAAGGGAATATGAGACTTAAATTCATATCAAGTATGGAATATGAAGTTCAATGTAACCATGTTTGTCATATACACCCTTACCACTCAAGGTCAAATTTTTTATTTCTATATCTTCTAGGCTATTAAAAGTTTATTGCTTACATGATTGATTAGTTGATCCCTTCAATCATTGACAAAAGGCTACATAAGTCAACCTTGGCTATTTCTTGCATATTTTTGTAACCAAGTACATATTAAGTTGTTTTATCAGTGACATTACATATTCTTGGTTTCATGGCTAGAAAAGTTATTTAAGAAAGTTGAGTTACTGATCTACACTGAGCATCATGATCAGCCTACCTCCATCGTCAAATTGTGCAATACCTACAAACATCACATGGCCATGAAGACCGTAAAAGTGAAGTCACATGTGTAAAATACTTGTTGTGGGGAGGTGGGCATGATTTACGTTTCGACAGGCACGCGGTACAACTTTTGCCTGCAAATTGCATGCAAGGACAGTCATATGCATGCATATATTCAGCATGGACGCCATTACACGAGCGAAAACTGGGGTTGTTCCGCCGCGCGGGCACTTTCATTTCCGACGTGGCTCACTTTTCAATGAAAATCTATGCTTACCTTCCGAGCTGACAGAGTTGGCCATGGAACTGGACGCCTCAGGGCAGGCAGTATAGATCTTGCCATAGGAACACATGCTTAAATACACTATTTCAACACCTCATGAAAGTACTTACCCACACCCCAATCTCAAAAATTCTTCTGCACCAGGTAGCGACAAGGGTCTGATTCCCAAAAATAGAAAGGAAACAGGGGGTTGACCAGCACCACAGCTGATGATAGTAAAAAAACCTCAACTTTGACCTTACATTTTCCATGGTATCCATCCGCCTGGCCCGCTGACAAGACCTAACCACTCACATCTCTCACTACGCCCACTAAACTGGTGAAATAAACAAAACTTGACCAATGTAGGAAAGTTAAGACCCTACCTGTGCCTTCTAGCCAAAAAATCTCCAAAATGGAACAAAACTTTCAAGAGAAAAAATTATTTTCAAAGGTATTAACGAGAACTAGGAAGCATTTTGTCGGGTCAACGGTCCATTCCATGGGCCGGTGGGTGTCGGCGAAATATCCAATCACGCGCGCAGTGTGCCGATTTCGGAGGAATGTACGCTCAAAACCGGAGGAACGTCCGCTCACCTGGAGGACTGTACGCTCAAACCGCCGACTGAAGTGCGCCGATTTCGGAGGAATGTACCCTCAAAACCGGAGGAACGTCCGCTCACCTGGAGGACTGTACTCAAACCGCCGACTGAAGTGTGCCGATTTCGGAGGAATGTACGCTCAAAACCGGAGGAACGTCCGCTCACCTGGAGGACTGTACGCTCAAACCGCCGACTGAAGTGTGCCGATTTTGGAGGAATGTACGCCCAAAACCGGAGGAACGTCCTCACCTGGAGGAGTGTACGCTCAAACCGCCGACTGAAGTGCGCCGATTTCGGAGGAATGTACGCTCAAAACCGGAGGAACGTCCGCTCACCTGAAGGACTGTACGCTCAAACCGCCGACTGAAGTGCGCCAATTTCGGAGGAATGTACGCTCAAAACCGGAGGAACGTCCGCTCACCTGGAGGAGTGTACGCTCAAACCGCCGACTGAAGTGCGCCGATTTTGGAGGAATGTACGCCCAAACCCGGAGGAACGTCCGCTCACCTGGAGGAGTGTACGCTCAAACCGCCGACTGAAGTGCGCCGATTTCGGAGGAATGTACGCTCAAAACCGGAGGAACGTCCGCTCACCTGAAGGACTGTACGCTCAAACCTCCGCCGTGAGAAGTGTGCCGATTTCGGAGGAATGTACGCTCAAAACCGGAGGAACGTCCTCACCTGGAGGAGTGTACGCTCAAACCGCCGACTGAAGTGCCGCCGATTCGGAGGATGTACGCTACAAACCGGAGGAACGTCCGCTCACCTGCAGGAGTGTACGCTCAAACCGCCGACTGAAGTGTGCCGATTTCGGAGGAATGTACGCTCAAAACCGGAGGAACGTCCGCTCACCTGGAGGACTGTACGCTCAAACCGCCGCCGTGAGAAGTGTGCCGATTTCGGAGGAATGTACGCTCAAAACCGGAGGAACGTCCGCTCACCTGGAGGAGTGTACGCTCAAACCGCCGACTGAAGTGTGCCGATTTCGGAGGAATGTACGCTCAAAACCGGAGGAACGTCCGCTCACCTGGAGGACTGTACGCTCAAACCGCCGACTGAAGTGCGCCGATTTC